GCCAGGCCCTGTTGCCCGGCAGAGGCCCACCACATTGGCAGCCCAGCAGCCTCTTGCCTCCATTCATGGGACTTGGCCCACACACTCCAGTCTGCCCTGTCAGGCCCATGCCTTTGTTCCCAACAACGTGGGAGGTGGAAGAGGCTGCCTCTCAGACTGCTGAGGCTGCCTGACAGTGGCTGCAGGGTGAAGGTGAGGTGCAGCCTGAGGGACAGAAGGGACCAGCCACAAGAGGACCAGGCCCCTGTGTGGCAAGCCCCATATCGGATACGTGAAAGATGGCATGCATCTTACATCAGAGCTAGGTCACGGTGGTGACCCAACGGAGCTTGGCTTAGGGAGCCAGATGCAAGGCTGGCAGCAGCAGATGCACCAACCACAGATGGCCCATTGCTGCTGGCAAGCAGGAGCCAGGCCCACTCACCTCCCACCACGTGCCCACGCCCAGCCCTCACCCCGCCCAGTGAACTCCGCGCGTGCGCGCTCACACTCCTGCGCCCTCCTGCTAACGGCGCCAGCTGCCCCTCACCCCCACCCCAGAGGGAGCCGACTTCATGCAGAAAGCCTGCCAAAGCGGGCGGCTTCCAGTGCCAAAAATACCTTCTGTGCTCCAAGGGGCTACCGTGCTGGCATCTCTTTGCCGATCAAAGCTGCTGCATGAGAGAGAGGATTCCCCTGGGCATGACCAGTTGCTCTGTGGCATGAGGGCCCACTTCCCAGGACCTGAGGTGGCTTTCCGGCCAGGAACAAAGCTGGAGCCATCTTTTGAAGAAATGCTTAGTTCTTACTAGAAAAATGCAGCTCTGTTTCAGGATGTTGTTTCCTTGTTCTCATCCACTTCTCCTATCTTCTTCCCTGAGTCACCCATTTAGTAACAAGTGACACGGGAACCTGGGTCAGGGACAACTGTCCAGCAGCCACAAATGACATTGCAGTCTGAGCTTCCTAGAGTACCAGGAAGCAGGCAGGAGGGTAGGCTAGTGTAAGGGAAGAACTTGGGACTGTTTTCCAAAAACAAAGGCTTGCAAAACCCATAACCCTATTCATTCGTTCGTTCATTGAGTAGATGTTAAATGCCCGCTACTTGTCTGGAACTGTGCTGGGCTGTGGCTGTCTCTCCTGCCGGAAGTGGGGGTGAACTGTGAGGTGCTGGCAGGAGAGTGGCCAGTGCCCAGGGGCACCACACTGAACCTTAGCCAGACAAGTTGAAAAGGAATAACAGCAGGCTGGCTAGACAGGAGAAAACTTGAGCCTCAGGAGAATAGCCAGGCACATAGAGTCTGTTGGCAAGCAGCACGCCTTGAAAAGAAAAAGTGCTGAACACTGGAATACTATGCAGCCTTTTAAAAAGAGTGCAATCCTGCCACTTTCAACAATGCGGATAGCTGAGGACCTCAAGGTAAGAAACATAAGCCAGGCACAGGAAGACAAGTGCTGCATGGTGTCACTCATGCTCAAATAGTTAAAAAGCTGATTTCATAGAAGTAAACAGTAGGCCAGTTACCAGACTCTGGAAAGAGGAAGAGGAAAGGAGAGAGGGCAAAAAGAGCCACTGGGGGTCAGATAGCCAACTACGGTCAGACGGTAGATGAAGTCCTTGCGCTCGGCAGCACAGTGGGGCTGGCACAGGTGGTAGTAACGTACTGTATATTTCAAAATGGCTGCATGCTCTCGGCACAAATAGTAAGTGTCTTAGGTGAAAGATGCTAATTACCCTGGCTTGATCATTACACATTTTATATAGCAAAATAATCACGATGCTCCCCATAGATATCTGCAATTATTATGCATTACATTTTTTAATGTTCTCAATAGATAACTGTGTACTACATACAGTTGTTCTAGCAAATGACAGCATATTTGCTCTTAACAAGCATTTGTAGGTGAACGAATTAATATGTGTTCAAAAGAGTAGGTTTATCTTTATTTAGAGGATGGAGATTCAAACCTATGGACGGTGCCTCAAAGGATGTTATACCTGAATACGTGACTCTCAGCTGTCTTTTATTCCCAAAGTATATTATAGCTACATGTTTAACTAAGAAGCTCGATACTTACTCGAGCCATTAAGGCTGAAAGTACATATCTTCTTACTTTACTGACGCTATTAATTCTTCAAAAACTTTTGCATAGGGATGTTTTCATTCTGTCAGCTCTCTGTACATGGAAAGTAGAAATCCCCATCTTACAGACAGACAAGCTGAGACATAGGCAAGTTAAGGATACTCCATCCAGAGCACCACAGAGTACCTCAGGCTAGAGTTCTTCCCCTCCTCACAAGGACCCCAAATCCTCCCACCATCCCGGGGGACTCCGTTCTCACATGCTATCCAGTGTGAGCATGGAAACCGGGTGGCGCTGCATCACCCTGGCCACAACCTGTTCTGTCCATGAGCTCTCCTCCTCTCTCCCTCTTCTTCCCTTTTTCTCTCTTTACTTGGGGAGGAAAGGAGAAAGCCATTGGAGGAATCTGTTTTCTTTCATGTTTCCTCAATCTGCATTCTTGAGTTTACTTCTGGATCACTCAGACGGGAAGATAACACTGAAAATTATTTAATTGTATTGTAATCTCAGGATGGGCTTCAACTGAGGCAGGGGAAGAGCTGTGGTCTCGGTGGGAGCCATACAGCCCTTGACTTAGAACCAGAGGCTTGGGTTGGGGAGATAGCTCAGGGGCACAGTGCTTGCCTGGCAAGCATAAGGTCATGATTTGACTCCTGTTATTAAAAAAAAAGAACCAGAGGGTCCTTGTTTTCACCATAAGCTTTACCAGCTGGATGCCTGCAGCCCTACCATGAAGTTCTTAGGTTTAGCAGGCCTGACCATGATGCACTAAGCAAATGGGAAGATTACCCACACATCTCCAAATCGACTTCCTTAATGAACTGTGGTTCAGATTCAGTCTACTCGGATATAAGAAGATGGCAAGACTGTCTGGATAAGGAGGTAAGATCCACTCACATTAACAAATTAGTAACAATATAGGATAGACATGATTGCCTGAAGAGCTGAGAACAACTAATTCTGAAGAAGATCAAAGAAAGAAACTAGGATAGATTGGATCCCCAAGACAAAGTCAGGGAGAACTAGTGAAAGTTTCAGGGCACCAACTGCTAATTAATTACATGAAGGACATCTGAAGACTTGGCTAACCTGTTCACAATTCCTAAGGAACTAGTCAATTAAGTCAACCCTAGTCCCCCTAATCCTGCATTGAATGGAGAGGCATTTGAGATAACTAGTGAGAGCACACTTTCTCAATCCTCTGTCTGTTTCTACCTGTTTCTGTCTGTCTCTGTCTCTATGTCTCTGTCTCTGTGTCTCTGTCTCTCTGTCTCTGTCTCTGTCTCTCTCTCTCTCTCTCTCTCTCTCTCTCTCTCTCTCTC